ACCCCAACCAGTCAAATGGCCTGATTGGTTTTGCTTCCTTTACCTTCAAAGTGAGTGAGTTGGGAGTGGGTAATGGGAGGTGGAAGAAAGGCAGTCAGAAAAAGAAAAAAAAAAAAAACAGTGAACAGACACAAAATGAAAAGTTACGTGATAATGTATGTGGTCATATCTTTGACTTGACTGATATGCACCGTATCTATGCTGGAAAAACCATTCTATACAATGTAAAGATGTACTGTGACTAAATTTAAAAAAAAGAGTTGGAATGAGTTGGACTAGGACTAGATGGGCATCATTCAACCTGCCCCCTCAAAGTCTGGGGTCCCAGGGAACAGTTGCAGCAGCAAGAGAAGGTGAGACTCATGCCTCCCTAACTTCATTGAGGACAGTGATGCTCTTTATATTGTATGATTTTGTGGGTCTGTGTGGTATTTAACTTGATACAAGGTCTCCACTGGTAAACACAAGTTTGGAGACCATCACACTAGATAACACTGGGAGGACTTTTCTGCACAATCAAAGCGATTTGGCTTTGATTTGAAGTGTTGAGTGTCAGAACTCACTTTTCCTCTTACACAGTATTAATCTTCGGGCCTGTTTCCTAAGGGGTTACTCATATGGAGTGCTTTTTTGTTGCCCTACCCCACTTTTGTAAAGTATGATAAGCTTTATGGAAGCAATTAAATTATACTTCCTAGATCAGTTTATGAACTATGTGTCAGAAATTCTAAGTATGTTAAGTATATTAAAATTTTGTAGTGAAATAATCCACCTCACAGAATTATGGCTGTTTCGGGCACACACAGATGCACCTGCATATTTTCAAGTCACTGGGTCTGGGACTCAAAGCACGTAGTTAGCCATGTGGGATTCAGCCACCTTACCACCACGGCACTGGCTGGCCAGGACTGCAGTTTTGTTATCAAGTCCAAGAATTCTATGTATACCCTAGATTCTAAAGATGTTCTCATATTTTTCCTCCAATGTTTTGTAGTTTTACTTTTAACATTTAAGTTCATGAGGCACTTTGAATTAATGTGTGTATAAGGTGTGAGATTTAGGTTGAGAGTTTGGGTTTCTGTTTGTCTTTTCGCTCATGGGTATTTAATTGTTCTGGCACACGTTGTTGAAAGTCTTTTTAGAATAGTACATGACCCCAACCAGTCAAATGGCCTGATTGGTTTTGCTTCCTTTACCTTCAAAGTGAGTGAGTTGGGAGTGGGTAATGGGAGGTGGAAGAAAGGCAGTCAGAAAAAGAAAAAAAAAAAAAAACAGTGAACAGACACAAAATGAAAAGTTACGTGATAATGTATGTGGTCATATCTTTGACTTGACTGATATGCACCGTATCTATGCTGGAAAAACCATTCTATACAATGTAAAGATGTACTGTGACTAAATTTAAAAAAAAGAGTTGGAATGAGTTGGACTAGGACTAGATGGGCATCATTCAACCTGCCCCCTCAAAGTCTGGGGTCCCAGGGAACAGTTGCAGCAGCAAGAGAAGGTGAGACTCATGCCTCCCTAACTTCATTGAGGACAGTGATGCTCTTTATATTGTATGATTTTGTGGGTCTGTGTGGTATTTAACTTGATACAAGGTCTCCACTGGTAAACACAAGTTTGGAGACCATCACACTAGATAACACTGGGAGGACTTTTCTGCACAATCAAAGCGATTTGGCTTTGATTTGAAGTGTTGAGTGTCAGAACTCACTTTTCCTCTTACACAGTATTAATCTTCGGGCCTGTTTCCTAAGGGGTTACTCATATGGAGTGCTTTTTTGTTGCCCTACCCCACTTTTGTAAAGTATGATAAGCTTTATGGAAGCAATTAAATTATACTTCCTAGATCAGTTTATGAACTATGTGTCAGAAATTCTAAGTATGTTAAGTATATTAAAATTTTGTAGTGAAATAATCCACCTCACAGAATTATGGCTGGAAGAGAATAAGCTAAAATCATATGTAAGCAATAAATCAATGTCAATCTTTATAAATAGCCATTTCTACCTTCCCAGCCACTTATCTTTTTTTATTTATTTTTTCTTTTTCTTTTCTTTTCTTTTTTTTTTTTTTTTTTTGAAGAGGTTTTTCTATAGGGCGCATGCGCTCGCCAGACAGACAGAGAGAGACAGAGAGATAGAAAGCGAGAAATCACCCCCCAGGGGGTATGGCCACGCCACAATCCCTTCTTCTCCATTCTCCTTGTGGGATCTCGGGCACGCATGCACACGCGCCTGGCATGAGTTTAAGCCACTGGGTCCGGGACTCGAACTGCGGTTGCTATGTGGGAGTCCAGCAGCATAGCCATTACGCTAACTGCTGGTCCCCCCAGCCACTTATCTAACTCTTGCCTTTCACAAAGCACTTGAAACAACTTTTAGTCAGTTCGTGAAGGGTTACTTGCGATAGCTTTTCAAGATAGACAAGTCAGTCCTGTATTCTAATGCCTGTCTCTAAAAGAGGAAATTGAGACCCAGACAGTCTGAATAACCAACCCGCCCCAAATGATAGAACCTGCAGTAGGAGACCTAAGCAAGAGCTCACTTTAATACCTCATTCAGTTATTTTCTCTGTTCATTTTATAATATAAGCACTTCAGTGGATATTTCCCCAAAAGTTGGCATTTGCTACTGTAGGTTTTTTTTTTTAATCTGTAAAATGGGATAGTAAAATAATAAACTCAAATATTTGTGTTGTCTTTTTAATCCCAAGGAATAGAATTAATTGAGACTGTGCATTTGAGAAAAAAAGAAGTTACACTACAACATGCACCCTGTTGGAATGGTGGTTCTTGTGAACTTGGCTAGCTCTTTGAATTCCAGTAGGCAGCTGTGTGTGCCTGCTGAGAACTATTCATGGGAAAACTGTTTGTTTGTATCATAGCATGTTTTTTTATTTTTCCTTTTAGTACTCATGTGACTGAATTGTGAACTGCCATATTAATAAGATTCAAACATTTCAAAGGGTGGTTCAACATAATAGTTTCCATAAAGTTGTTTTAATAGTTATTTTTAACAGATGGACAGCTTACATTTGGCCACGTTTCTGTGACAGTGTGATGATTGAAGTTTTTAACAGATGGCATACAGATACTGGGGAAAACACCCTTCCAATATTAATTTTTGTAAAAAAGATTCTAAAGTGCCAGAAAAAAACGATAGCCTGTATTCCCAAGTCCTTAGCCTGTGCAATTATGATTATAATTTAGATTAGTTGGAGGTTTCCATTTCTGGCACTTGGGTTTATTGTGTAAATGACCATGTATATCTGCATCACAGTGAGATGATGAACACTCCGTTGTCCATTAAAGATTCAACATGGATAGAGCATTACATCTCCCCTTGATTGTTGATAGATGCACATAATTTCCCTTTGCTGTGCTATTCTATGTCTACTGCGGTTGCTATGTGGGAGTCCAGCAGCATAGCCATTACGCTAACTGCTGGTCCCCCCAGCCACTTATCTAACTCTTGCCTTTCACAAAGCACTTGAAACAACTTTTAGTCAGTTCGTGAAGGGTTACTTGCGATAGCTTTTCAAGATAGACAAGTCAGTCCTGTATTCTAATGCCTGTCTCTAAAAGAGGAAATTGAGACCCAGACAGTCTGAATAACCAACCCGCCCCAAATGATAGAACCTGCAGTAGGAGACCTAAGCAAGAGCTCACTTTAATACCTCATTCAGTTATTTTCTCTGTTCATTTTATAATATAAGCACTTCAGTGGATATTTCCCCAAAAGTTGGCATTTGCTACTGTAGGGCTTTTTTTTTAATCTGTAAAATGGGATAGTAAAATAATAAACTCAAATATTTGTGTTGTCTTTTTAATCCCAAGGAATAGAATTAATTGAGACTGTGCATTTGAGAAAAAAAGAAGTTACACTACAACATGCACCCTGTTGGAATGGTGGTTCTTGTGAACTTGGCTAGCTCTTTGAATTCCAGTAGGCAGCTGTGTGTGCCTGCTGAGAACTATTCATGGGAAAACTGTTTGTTTGTATCATAGCATGTTTTTTTATTTTTCCTTTTAGTACTCATGTGACTGAATTGTGAACTGCCATATTAATAAGATTCAAACATTTCAAAGGGTGGTTCAACATAATAGTTTCCATAAAGTTGTTTTAATAGTTATTTTTAACAGATGGACAGCTTACATTTGGCCACGTTTCTGTGACAGTGTGATGATTGAAGTTTTTAACAGATGGCATACAGATACTGGGGAAAACACCCTTCCAATATTAATTTTTGTAAAAAAGATTCTAAAGTGCCAGAAAAAAACGATAGCCTGTATTCCCAAGTCCTTAGCCTGTGCAATTATGATTATAATTTAGATTAGTTGGAGGTTTCCATTTCTGGCACTTGGGTTTATTGTGTAAATGACCATGTATATCTGCATCACAGTGAGATGATGAACACTCCGTTGTCCATTAAAGATTCAACATGGATAGAGCATTACATCTCCCCTTGATTGTTGATAGATGCACATAATTTCCCTTTGCTGTGCTATTCTATGTCTATGTCATACATAAAAAAATGTAACCCTCTATAAAAATGAACTGTCAGAGATGTATATGTTCTTCTGAAAAGTATTGTTTAAAAGAAACAAAAACTCACCAAATGTAGAATTTTAAAACATATTCTTTTTTTTTTTAAGAATTATTTCATTGAACTTTATTTATTTTTTTAATTTGACCAGAGAAGGACACAGAGAGAAAGAGAAAGTGAGAAAGCCAGCCACCAGATCTGGGACTCGAAACGGGGTCGGCCACGTGGGAGTCCAGCGCCCTTAATCACCAGGCCACCTGCCGGCCCAAAAGCGTATTCTTTCATATGATGAATTCCCCAACCTCGCAAGTTGTCTTGCTTCTCCTGTTGACCACCTTGCACCGTTTCTGGGCTGAGTGAGGGATGAAGCACACAGTAAATGGGGCAGTGAGAGGAGAGGCAGAGGTCTGTGGTTATTACGATAACGCAGGGCATTTATTGGTATTTAGTAGGTGGAAGCCAGAATGCCTAGACATGCTACAGTGCACGGTGGAGTCCGGAGCATGGAGGAAACGTCCTGTATGCTACATATGCCGGAGTGCCTGGCTGGATGTCTCTCTGAGCCTGCTTCTGTGTAAATTTAAAGACAGTGAGTTTTGCAGTACAAGGTATCCATTTGTGCAGAAATTGAATATTCAGAGTACTAGCTTCTCCCCATACATGTACTTCTTGATTTTACTACATTGATATATAAAAAGCTGAAAGACTTCCCATTTTCTGCTGCGGAATCCTGACTTTTTCATGCTCGGTGTCGGGAGAGCATGTAGACACCTTAGTCTATCTTCTACTGATATTGTGGACTGAGTTTAGAATTAGAACATACATATATATAATAAGTCTACTTTCCTTTGATTTTCCTTTCATATTGCAAATACGGCCTATTTCCGTATTTAATATTTTTGAAATTCCATGCATTGTAAGTTATATTATCTATGAGTTTCTGGGTCTAAAGAGATCATTGTAAAATTCCTGCTCTCATAAAGGGGTCCTGAGATTGATCAGAGTGAGAAGCATTACTATTGACAATTAAGCAGTCACAGACAAATGTTTCTTCACTTGTTCACTAGTTCAGTGTTGGCATCTTTCGAAGAAAACAACAGCCTAAGTCTTCAGTAAGGAATAAAGTCTCAATAAACTCGATATTTTTCTGCTTCTATGGATGTGAAGAGCTGCTTTTCTTGGTAAGTCGTCTTGGCTAGATCCTCCTTCTGTCTGTCATTGCAGATGGCATTTAATGATTGCTTCCGTTTGAACTACCCTGGCAACCCCCACCCAGGGGACTTGATTGAAGTGCTCCGTCCTGGCTATCAGCACTGGGCCCTGTACTTGGGTGATGGTTATGTCATCAACATAGCGCCTACAGGTAAGGTTTGTTTCCAGCAGCTTCTGGGAGATTTTTGGTTTTCTCATTATAAGAAGGAATCATGAAAATGTCATGAAACAAAACAAATAAAATGTAGAAAGAAAAATTCAACTAATCCAGATTTAGAGAAGAATATTCTTCTTAATTATTATTATTATTTTTTTTTTTTAGTGAGACAAATTTTTTTGCTAGAGGACACAAGCTTATCAGAGAAACAGAAAGCAAGAAATCACTTCCTTGCCCTGGGGCAGGGGAGAGAGGATGTCCATGCTACAATCCCTTCTCCATTCTCTTCTCAGGAGTTTGGGCATACACACACATATGCCTGGCATGAGTTTCAAGCCACTAGGTTGGAACTCTCAGTCACCTGAGAGTCCAGTGCCTTAACTGGTACCCCACCTGCTGGCCTCAAGAGAAGAACAGTCTAAGATCAAAGTGGCATTGAAGAAATCACAAAGGCCAATGAACATTACATTTTAAAGCCTCTGGATTAAAAAAGTTATATAGTTATAAAGGAAATAACCAAGGCCAGCTCCATGGTATAGTGGTATTGCCCTGCTCAAGAGAAGCTGGCTCCCACATGGTGATCACGGCCTGGGCAGCCGGAAACATGCCATGTCGGTGTGTGAGTGCTAAAGATCTGACCAGCGGAAGGGCTGGAGGAAGATGATCGAGGCATGACCAGACCCTTGGAGGGTGCCTCTCTCTTGTGTATGCGCATACGCTCTATCGTAAATGAATAAAGAACAAACATTTTTAAAAACAAAATACCAGCTGGGAAAACTATTTGCCAAGAACATGACAAAGTTCAATATCTTTATATGTAACACAAATAGATTATTTCAATTCTTCACACCTATTTGTAGATCACCTAATATGTGCTGAATACTATTCAAGGTGCTGGAGATCTAAGATACCTCTGTCTGTGTGACGGAGCTTACATTTGAGTAGAGAGAGAGAACATAAACACATTACAGAAATATCGTTAGAATAGAGGTAAGTGATTTGGAAAATATACATCACAGTATTTCCCCCTTAATATGCACCGAATGTCTGAGCTCTGTGGCAGAAATGGAAGGCTCTGAAGACATAATGGTATGGAGCACACGTGTAGAACTGCGTGGGAGGGGATGGGTACTGGGCGTGGGTGAGAGGGGCTCAAAAAAAGCATTTAACAGCCGTGAGATGTACGTTTCTTTGTTGAGATCATATATATAATAGTTCTTGATTTGATTATCACACTACAGGCATGCTTTGAAATACCATATTATATGCCTTAAAGATGCACAATAATTAAATATAAATAAGAAAATATAAAATAAAAACAAAAATAAACAACAAAAAAGGAGGTGGGATGAGAAGTGCCAAGGGCAGCATAGTTGGGGTGGGAGCCAACAATTTTAAATGGAGTGGTGGGGGCTGGCAGGTGACGTGGGTGTTAGACTCACACATGGCCAACTGTGGTTTGAGTCTTGGACCTGGTGACTTGCTTTCTCACTTTCTTTCTCTCTGTCCCTCTCTGGTCAAATTAAAATAAATAAAGAAAGAAAGTTAAATAAATAATTCTTTAAAAAAGTAAATGGAGTGGTGAGAGAAATTTCATAAGAAAGTAATGTTTGAAGGGAAAATCAGAAAAGGTGAGGAAACCAATGAGATAATATCTGGGAAAAGAATACCCCAGGCTGAGGGGACAGGAAATATCAAAATCCCAACAACTGGATAAAGAATTGTGAACAGTGTGTAAAAGAAGAAAAGCAAAAGCTAATACACCTTTTAAAATTTTTTCAACTATCCAGTAACCTAGAAGTTGAAAAATAAAATGGACAGATGTCATGCCTATCTCATTAGCAGAGGTTGGAAAGTGATACTCATCAGTGTTTGTAAGGGTATAAAGATGATGACAAACTTAGTATTAATGGAAATGTAGACCGATAAATCCACTCCCCAAAACAATTTCACGGTATGTGTGAAGACTCTTAAAGGAGTTTGTATACTCTGACCTGGTCTGTACCTGTACTTCTAGGAATCTATTCTGGGGAATTATTTTGAAATATGGACAAACGTTGATGTTTCAGGGTATTCACTTCCGTTTCATTTATAATTGTTTTTAAGATAGACAATGGGGGCCAAATGGTGCAGTATGAAATGTGACACTCTGCCAGGTTGACCTACATGGGAAGGTTCCGGGTTTGTGTCTGGAGACCTTCCAGAGGATTCTGAACACCTGCATACCCGTGAGTTAGGGTCGACTGAGACTGGGGGTGCATCACAGGATCAGGTGCTGTTCCTCTGTCTCTTTCTTTCTGTCTCTCTCATTCATGGTAAAAATAAATAAAACCTTTTAAAAACAGTGACTTAATGTGCAGTAAGGGAAGGGTTAAATTATGATTTAGACACAGAATATCAGATGTCTGCATTTGTCAGAATTCTTTAGTTGTAAGTAACCAACAACTCTAAATATATTGCTTCACAAGGAGCCAGCAGAAAGGCTGGAGGTGCTGCTAGCTTCAGAGGTGCTGGCACTGAGAGATTTGAACACTATTGAGTCTTCATTTCACATCTGCATTTTTTTTTTTCCTACATGCTGTTCATTCTCCCAGACTAGGTCTCTCTCAGAAGCTGAACTTATGGACATGAACAGCCTTAGGCTCTCCTTCTTGGTCTTTTAACCTTACAAGAAAGAATTATTTGTTGCCTGTTAGAATAAAAAAATTATGGACTCCAATTGGTCCATTGCTAGTCACATGTCCATTGTTCATGATCACTGTGTCTGGAAGAATCAGATATGGTGACTGGCTCAGACAGAGTAGTTTCCAGGAAGAAATAGACAATGGTGTGATGGGCTGCTGGGTAGAGTAAAAACAATAGCCATTAAAAATTATATTTCTGGACATGTTAAAATGCATGGGAAATAGCCTTCGTATACTATTTATTTGAAGATTTCAGATTAAAATGCAATATATGATGTGATACTCGGTTTGCAAAAAATAATATGTACACACACAAATGCACACAGAATGCACACCTATACACATCATAAAATCACATCAAAATAATAGTAAATATTTCTGGGCAGTGGCCTAACTTCTATTTACATATTATTCTTTATTTCATATATTTTTTTAACATTTAAAAATAAGCATAAGCCAACTTATTTGGAAAAAATATATGCAAATAAGAAATAACCTAGAGTGGAGCCAGCATGTGGCGTGGAGGTTAAGGCACTGGCTCCACATGGCCAGCTTTGTGGTTTGAGTCCTGAGCCCAGTGGCTTGAAAATCATGCCGGGTATGGATGCTTGCTTGTCTAAAATCCTGAGAGGAGAGTGGAGCAGGGAGATTGTGGTGTGGCCATCCCCCACCCTGGGGAGAGATTTCTTACTTTCTCTCTCTTCTCTCTTTCTTGCTCTGGCATGTACACACACCCTATAGCAAAAACAAAAACAAACAAACAAATAAACAGAAAAGACCTAGAGTATTTTTTCTTCAAGATACCTTTAAGGAAGGACCAGCAGATGGCATAATGGTTATGTCGTTAGACTCCCAGGTCGTGGACTACAGTTCAAGTCCTGGACCTGGTGGCTGAAACTCATGCCAAGTGCCTGTGCATGTATGCCCAAGATCTTGAGAGGAAAATGGAGGAGAAGGGATTGCATCATGGTCATACCCCCAGAGAATAATTTCTCATTTTCTGTTGTTCCTCTGTTTTTCTGGCGAGTGCACAAGCCCTGTAGTAAAAACCTCTCTTAAACAAAACAAAACAAAACAAAAACAAAAATAACAAACAAAAGCCTTTGAAATTTCACTTTGTAAGCTAAATAATGTGATTGAATGTATTTTAAATTTTTTTTTAAAAAGTCCAAGCATATCAGTAATGACAATAAATGTAAATGGGTTAAATTTCTCCAGAAAAAAAAAAAAAGCCTTTGAGGAGAGGCACATATTGGCCTAAGTTTTACTTTCTTGGGAATTTCTGTGAATTTTTAATGAAGGGATTTTTGCAACATTTTTATATATTTGCCTCTTGTTCTAGAATCTTGTAAATGGGAATAACAAATAAAATGACATTTATGATTGAGAGTTGTTACTTTTCAGGGTCTAGTGGTTAAAACTAAGCAACTCTCTACATCTACATTATATCAGCAGTTTTGCCATTTAGAAAATAATATTAAACTTGAGTGGTGTTTCCTTATTTCCATTGCTAAACTCCATATAAATTAATTAATTTAACTTCAATACTGTAGATTGAACTTCTTGTTTCTATTGTTAACTGCAATGATATTTTCCAAGTCACTTTACCTCTACAAGCTTAAGTTTCCTCATTTTTGCATTGTACTAGTAAAAAAAAAAAGTTCAGTAATTTGCTGTAAAGATAAGTAATATATAAAAACATACAGGACCAGCAGATGGCATAGCAGGTATGTTGCTGGACTCCCACATGGCTGACCAAGGTTGAGCCCTGGACCCAGTGACTTAAAACTCATGCCTGGTGTGTGTGCATGCATGCCGAAGATCCTGGGAGGAGAATGAAAGAGAAGGGATTGAGGCATGGCTATCCCCTCTGGATGGTGATTTCTCACTTTCCCTCTCACTGTCTCTGTCTCTCTCTCTCTGTGGTGATCACATTCATCCCAAGGCAAAAATGTCTATTAAAAATAAAACAAACAAAAAACCCACAAAACTTACAATGCAGAAGATATTAACTGGAAATGCTGCTTTGAGAAAGGGAGGCCAGACAAAGAGTAGTGGAAAAGAAAATTTGTTTCTAGTCATTACTTAAAGGGAAAGTTTGTAAATACTGTTTATGTAGAGACCCTTATTCTCATGATTCAACTGCACATCGCAGTTGGGAGCAGCTGGAAAGGGATCGGGTCCTGGTAATAGACCTGTGCCCTGAGAAATGTCTAACTAGTCTAAAGAACAAGCAGTGGCAGACTAGCATACAAAAGTTCCTGGCAAGCTAAGAAATGTTTACCAATATAGGATGCTAAGGTGGAGGGG